ATTATTTTTCTTTCTTCTTGCCAAGTACCTATCCAAATCTATCAAGAAATTGATAAATAAAAGTCTCAGTCCTGGGCCCACTGAGGTAGGAAAGAAAATGATTGCCTGTAGTCAGAGTTAAGACAGTGGGCTTTTACAAATAACAAGCACTGATGTCAGGGGTCTTTCTGAGTGAATCAGTGCAAGGATCAGCTGGCAAATATGTAATGTAAGTGCATTGCCCTTGTGGGACCTGTTGTCTGTGATCTAGAGGTGAAGGTAAGGGCTACAGAGGCCAGCACCAACAGAGTGTGAGCAGCATAAGAGAACCTGCTCAAAATTTCCCATAGCTTGACACAAGCTCCACAAAATCCTCTGGAAAGAGAAATAATATTTCAAGAGGTCAAGTTAATCTTCAGTTGCTTGCCTGAAAAAAGTAATTCTCAGTTTTGTTAGTGCAGTGCAGCAATGAACCCTTTTGCAGTGCTACACAGCTTCAGAGTGATGCTTATTTCACACCCATCAATGCCACCTGCAAAGTTTTTACTGAGCTACTGCAGTAAGAAAGCTTATGAGAATTATTTTAATCAATAATTTTCTTCTCAAGCCTTAATATTATTAACTTAAAGAAGTCATTAGAATGCTGGCATGAACAGTAGACAACAGTTAAAAGTTTTAATGTATGCAAATGTGGAGAGGAACCCTTTTTCATCTTCTAAGAAACAGAAGGGATTAATCTAAAATGGCATACCTAATTACCCAAATAATGACTTTTTCAGTGAAAAGCAATAAAAATGAGAGCCTGTGATTATTTCTGTATTTCTGAAATAAAATGTTGATGCCATTAGCTAAGAAATAATTCAGTGACAGTTTGAAACAAAGGTCTCCAATAAACTTTCAATATAGATTTTAAGGGTTCGTTACTCTTGGTTTGTTTTATGCCAGTTGAACATTAAAAACAGATTTTCTGAGGCTTAGGAAATATGCATCCTTTACATGAAGGCTAATCCTCAACAAACATGCCTTCAACAATCAGTTGGTTCACTCTATATGTATAGCAAGGAATTCAAGTCTCAGAATTCTCATAAGATACTTATTTTAAAGTACTATAATTTCCCTGCTTATCCTGTACTTGCTTCTCTAATTCAATGAAAAACCGATTATTACACAACCATAAGAAATGTTTCTAATTTGGCTTTTTCCAGATCTCCTCTTAGCAGATAATACTTTCTCACAGATTGCCCCAGTTTAATATAGAAACTGCATAAATAAGGTGTCAGAAAAAAAAAATAAGTCAGAAAGAAAAAGTGCACCTCTTTGGTTCCTACAGAGAACAACAACATATGAACAGATACATGTTTTCTGAAAGACAATATTCTACTCTGAGTCTAGTGACAAACTGATTGAGGCCTGAAAGGTTCAGAGTGGCCTTTCCAAAGACAGTAGGCAGATGAAAACTTGTCTGGTGTCATGTCAGGCAAAATGTTCTAGTGCAGATTCATTCAAGGACTCACAGACAATTGCAGCTATTTAAACTGGTTGTGTCAAAAAAAGGCTTGCTACAAATTTTCTTAAAATTTGAAGACAAAAGGAGATTAAAAAATACAGATCTCAATTTTGCAGCTCAGTCAACCTTCTCTATTTTCTAAGTCATGAGTGAAAAGTGCTTTCAGGTAGAAACCCGGTAAAAACTTGTGATGTCATCTTAAAATAAAAACTTGCTAGTCCAGCTTAATTTAATTTTGAGTTCTTCCCTTTATTTTAACATATCAAATTAAGATTTGATAACAAAGAATTTAGTCAACAAAACCCTTAGAAGAACAGCTGTCCTTGCCTCATTCTAATTCCAGTCATTTTGTGAGATGGAGTTTTGCCCCTCTCACTCTCATACCAATGTATTACCCATGCATTAGTGGTCATTTTAATCTCAATTATTTATGCTTTTTCTGAAAATGTGAGATATTTATGTAGAGCAATATATATTTGGCTGCACTTTTATTATTTAAAACATGTTTATATATCAACACCTTCCAGCATAACTTTATAGATATGGCATATTCTTCCTGGCAATTGTAATGCTTTCAATCCCTACTCAGCTATATGTCTAAATAGAGATGGAGGAAATTACTGCTACATGGTAGAGATCATTGTTTTTCTACTCTCAGCTCTTCTGTGCCACCTACACAGGTATTCAATATGGAAGTAATTATTTTAGTTCTCATTTTCATATCTTTTGATGACTTTAGATATAGATATGTCTTTGTATGTATGTCTCCTGATCCTTGTAGGAGGGGAAGACCACAGCATTCTGCACACCACTGTATTGTTAGAAAGGAGTCTTCTTGCAGGGCCACTCTGTGAGTTACCCCAGCAGGGTTTGGTATAATCCATCTGACTGTACTGCCTGTAAAACCTGTTAAGATAGTGGTAGAAAAGTGCCGAGAGGGTAACCCTACAGCTAAGCTTTCACAGGTATTATTGTAAAGAAATTGCAGAACCTGAAGCTTTTGTAAAGCCACTGAATGAATTCCTGGTTTTCTTTAAGGCAGCAAGGATTTTGCTAGTGATGCTATAGGTATATCTGTTCAGGTGAGATGCAGGGCTCTTACTTCCACCAAACCTTTGGGTACCAACAGGTCTAAAAAAGAGCATTTTTTCTTGTCTAAGGGAATGTAAGAGCTCTGTACAGATTAATGATATGCAGGATGCGGGGTTAGAGAAAAAAGAACAACAAACTAAATTTTTCCCTAGACTATTCGCGGTCATCTTTAGTTATGTTGCAGATCAAGAAAATGACAACATTTTTTGCCCATCAGTTTTACTACAGAGGATCACAGGCTTAGCCTACAGTAAACTAACTCACTGCCTTGCTTTATTTTTCCTTTCCTCCCAGAACAGCTCAGACCTGATGTTCTCCAAACCATGGTTACTTCGCAGGGTTTTTTTTTTACCTAAGCCCCTGGGCCCAACAGCAGGTGTAGCACAAAGCTGAGGGTAAGCTTCTGGGCAAAATACTAATCATCAGGCTGGACCTACTTTTCACAGGTGACAGATGTGTGCAAGTGGTGTGTGTACAGCTGCTCATAGGAAGTAGAGGAATAGACCTTTCTTGTAAGCAAGTTGTCCTATTTGCTCTGAATTTGAGACTGATCTTTTATTTTCAAAAGACCAGGTTGCTTCTTGAAAAGGGGCATATGGTTATGTACAGGGCTCATGTGATGATATTAATGATTGATGATTAGTAGAAGGAAATACCAGGCACATGGCCTATTCTGTAGGGGGTCATCAAGCTAGACATGGTAGCTGTATTTCAAGAAAATGCCTAAGGCTTTCTAATAGCATTAAAAGTTTTATGATCTGGAGGAAGGTAATCAAATCTCATGCTTCAGGGCACATGCTGATCTCCACAGGAACCAGGAAGGCATTTCCCACCACAAGAGCTTTATGCAGTTGTCTGGGTGGTTTCCATCCCAGATTGATGGTAAATGGAGCCTGTTGGAAGCAGGACACTTGAACTGCGTGAGTGAACCCCAGATACCTGTGTCCCCATGTAGCTCTTAAAGTGCTAAAGATTTTGAATCCTATAGAAATGAATGCGTTATGACAGGAAAGCTCCTGCAAAATACCTTCAAAGTGAAACTCTAGGCCAGCTTTCAGTCTCTGTTAGGTAGGTGCAGTGCTCATTGAATGCACTCCCAGAACAGAGAACAATACTTGGCAAGCGGCTTCTAGTGAGGAAAAATGATTAATGTCATATGTCAAGTCATCATAAAATAGTGTGGCACTTGTACACAGTGTCTCTTCTCATCTTAGGTATGAGGCTAGTCACTGCATCAAAGCAAAGAAAAGTGTTCACAGTATCGTTTTTTGTTCTCCAGCCCCTAATTCAGCGTCATGCCAGCCAACTTCTCTGTATGCCCATCTGATAAAATCTGTGCTCTGTTTTGGTTGCCTCCTGCTACTCTTCTACTTTTAATTGTCTCTGTGGCTTTCTTCTTCCCTTTTTTGTTTTTCTTCTCATTCTCTTCTGCCCAACTGAAGGAAATAATTTGTCAGTTTTTATTGAAATATTTACTTTGATCTGGATAATGTAAAATATTTTAATCTGGAATGAAACATGATGCTACCACTTTGTCATTATAAAAAAAAAGATTTTCTTTTCTCATGAGAACATTTATATAGGCATGTATATATACACATAATTAACAGTAGCGTGGACAAAACCAAATTGCTTCAGCAAGGCAGCATTTACCATCAGTTCAAGCCAAGACTTCTTAGTTTTTCCTGCTTGGAACACAATGTTTAAGAATGTTTTTCTTATGATGTCACAGTCAATGTCCCTTTTGGGTCCAAAGTTAATATTCCTTTTGACACCACAGTCAGTATTTTCCCCTAATAATGCTCTATATTTTTGTCATTATTTTTCACAACCTTGTAAAAATTGTAAAAACTCTTCTTTGACACAGCCAAAAAAGAGTTTTGAAAAGCTACATCTCAGACACCAAGGTCAAGAAAAGTAATTGGCTTCTCAAATGCTTTGTGAGTTTAATGACGGAAACAACTTGAGTTTTTGTAACATGAAAGCTAGTCTCAGAAAGTGAGACAAAGTAGTCAAATTACTACATCATTTCTTTTTTATTTGCTAGTTAAAAGGGCGGAGACCACCCATCCCCCTGTCCACTGTTCAGTGGAAAATATAGAAGTAGCAATTAAGTAGGTACAAATATAATGCAGACCATAACAGTGTTACAGTTGTCATTCTGCATGGAAACAGCAGAACAAGATGAAATAATTCAGAGAAAATACTACTGCTAGAGAAAAGCCTCCAATGTTCATGTTGGGATCCAGAAATGCTGGAACAGACACACTCTTAAAACCTGAGGCAAAGCAGCAAAACAAGGAGTAACAACATGTGCCACATAATGGCCACTTGTACCTATTTCTCAAAAGGGGGCCGAAGATGTTTTGATTAGGCTTTACATACCCTTTGAAGCTGTCATAACCTCCTTGTTCTTTCCTAGGGTTTGATACCAAACTTGAGAAATCTGAAGAAGATTCAGACTGTGGATTTTAAGAAGTGGTCTGGGGAAGGAAGAGTGATTAACCTGAAGTGGGAAAACACGAAAGCTGTTATTTGTGATGCAGGTGGGTTGGCCTTGGAGAAAAGAACAAGAACTGTTAGCCTCCTGCAAAAAGAAGGAAATCCAGTAGACAGGTAAGAGAATATGGTCAGAATTTTCCTTAATGGTTTTGCTCTTTGTGAACCAGAATGCTTCAGTACTAGAAAGCAATGGAAGCAGAGATTATGAAAAGCACAGCTGCAGGTATATAGGACACAGCTGCAAACAGCTTCTAGAACTTGCTTTATTTGCTTCTTTGCTTCAGCAGAAGACCACCTTACACTCGGTGAGAGAGAGTAGAAGTGGCCCACAATCATCAGCCAATCAGTCAAACACAACTCTCCTGGGCAGAGTACGGGAGAATGCACACCCTGCAGTTTTTTCAGCATGTTGGAAGGTAAGAAGAGCAGAGTATCTGGGCAGGGACAGAAGCATGCAGATGTGAGAAGGTGAGTTTATTCCACCTAGGACGATTAAGGAGCCAGTTTGTTGCCATTGCAACATCACTTACAAAACACAAGCCCAATCCCTAATGAGCTTATCTTTAAAAATAAGAGAAACCTTTCTTGCCTCAGCATACTTGTTATGTGCTCAGAATGTGCTGTTCTCTTTCCAAAAGCTTTTCATCTTAAAGTAGGTTTCGCCAACTGGTCTGAGACAGAGCTCTGTGAAACAGCATGGCAAAAGAACAAGGCTGCGTGCCATTCAACTTTAATAAGTCATGGGAGAAGATATTGTTTAGCCTTGCAGAATTTATACTCTCAGATTTATAACTGTAAGTAATTAAAAGGAAGAAAGCCATCTTGGACCTGTCTATGCTCCAGTTCTTACAGGGCCCAGTGTCTCATGTCTGGCATGGCTCAAGGGCCTGTGTCCTTTTGAAAGAATAGGCACTAATTGGTTTGGCTGCTCCTTGCTAGTAGTGCAAGCAGCTCTGTGGGCATTGGGGAGAGTTCATGGGGTCTCCAGGCTGGCTAGGGAAAAAGAACTTTTCCCTTCTTACAAAGCAGACTTTTTGGACTGCTGCCACCACATCGACTCCAGTATTTGGGAACTCTGTACAAAGCTTTGGATCCCAAAGATCTGGGCTGGGCAGTGGGTGCACATGCAGAGCCAACAGAGCTGGGGTTTCATGCTGTCTTTGGGAGGCAGGTGTGACCAGAAGTTGGGAGCAGGTTGGGGAGGCACGCAGAGGTGGCAGATCTCCCTAGGAGTCTGGTCTGGATTGTAAAATTCACTGAGGAGGACCCTGGAGTTCTAGTTCTCATATGACCCAATCTCTATATTCCACTGCATAGTCATTCAGGCCTTCTCACAGGTGTGTGCTGTCTTTGTGACCCACTGTTTGAGTTCTCCATATGATTACAAGTGCACCTATAGCCACCAGACCTGTATACTCATGTGGTCATGAATATTCATTAGCAGTTTTTCTTTTTTTTTTTTTTCATTTTATTTTAAGGGGATAAAAGTTGTAGTGAAAACTTGTGTCACCTTAGAAGGTTTTTTTCAGTCATTTTGACTGAAAAAGCCTGGGGCAGCACACACTATGCCGTTACCTGGATTTTAATAAATTCAGAGACAAATACAAACAACTCCCATTGTTCAAGAGCTGCTCTGTAGCTGAACATATGTGTTGAAGCACAGTGGAAAAAATTCTGACAAAAGTGTCCAGTGTCTAAAGCAGTTTAAATACAGCAATGGCAACAGCCTGGTTGCTGATGCACAATCCTGCCTGCTGTCTTCTGGGGTTTGGATACAACAAAACACCTGGGCTCAGAGCCACAGATCTCAAAATATCAGTATCAGAGCAGAGGACAATTTATTTTTTTTAAGTACTGAATGTAGACATTTGCCCAATAATTTACAGATGTTAAGTATCAAAAGATGTAAGTAGAGATGTAAATATTATTCTCTGGAGGCATGTTGGTTCCTTTTGGCAAATTTGGGACAATAATTAGGAACTGTGGCAAAACTAATTGAAATTCAGAAGAACCACTGAGATAAAACATAAGCCTAGACTAAAAGAGAAGAATATAGTATCAAAAGAAAGAAAGGCTGTCAGTGGTTCATAAGGAGAAAAAGGAAAACCAGGCAGTATCATCATGACAGAAGAAGGTATCTATTGGACATAAACTATTCTACAGGAAAAAAATAAATAAATGATAGAATGAAAGGACGTATTGACACTTAAAGCAGAAACTTTAGTCACAGTGATGGAAACTTTCTTATTAGGGTATAGATCATTGAAGCATTAGTCTGCTAAACTTCTGGCTGAGACCAGTGGACATGATGGTTACTGCCTTTGCCAGTCAGAAAGGGCTAAGCTGTACTGTGGGTGCCGTTTGTCACAGGGGATCCACCACCAGCAAGAATTGATGCCTTTAGCTGGCATATCCTTCTCCAATCATCACTGCCATCTCTGTCTCTGCGGTCTGGAGTAGACAGGATTGATGATGAGCATATACACAACAAGAAAAAGAACAAAGTGAATACTTCTGCCTCCTTCAGGTCTGCTGAAAGGGGTTCACAGTCTTGCTTCTTGCTCAGAGTATTTCAGAAAGCCGCTTCACTGTCCTCCTACAGTAAGGACCCCAACAACTTAACCACAATAACAGATCATTAATAACTTTACTGAAGCTAATGGAACATTAAACACTCTACATATATAATTTAAACCAGTTTCCTGGGTTGAAGAGTCTATCTCCATTGTAATAAGCTCTTTCAGATTCCAAAATAGAGGATTTTCACACAAAGTCCCCACTGAGAATGATCCTGGGAATGTTCAGACCACAGATTTTATCTAGGAATTATTTGGGGGTGCTGGCTGGCAAAGACCTCAAGCATACCTGGGAGCTGTCTAACAGGAACTGTAGAGACAATTGCATTCCAGTGCACAGGACTGTTCTGGTCACTGTGTAATTTACTAACACAGACATAGCCTCACTGTCTAAAGTTGTTTACTCCAGGGAGCTTCTCAACTCCAAGATCTGAATACATGTTTCCTTGCCTCCCAACCATGTTCTGAAGTGAGAGAAAGCCAATTTCATGCTCTTGGGAAGGAGACTTGGGTACACAAGTGAGAAGGATACACACAAGTGACTATCCAGACAACTGTGGGATCAGAGTGCTCTGGCACACATTTCGTCATTGGTCACAGTCACTCTTATAAGGTATTTCTTAATTTTGTGCCAGTCCTAGACCTACTTAATGTTTGTGGCAGCAGGACTATGCATCTATTTATCTTCTGCCCTTTTTCTATTGAAAATGGCTATGTTAGCTCCTGAATTCCTTCCAGAGCATTATCTGGGCATGAACAGTTCTGTAATTAAACCAAACTATTTTAGCTCACAGGAATAACTGAGTGAAATTTATCTGAGAGGAATGATGTATATGATCCCAATGGAAGCCTGGAAAAACTTTATCAGCATGTCAGAATAATTTCACAGCTTAAGTAGACAGGCCTAGAATAGACTTATGAAGTGCATGTGTATTACTAAGAACTTTCCTATATTATTTTCATTGTATTTGCTTAAAAACACCCTGTATGGAAACAAAGAAAATTGTATTTTTAATTGCACATAGGGAAAACACTTAGGAGTTATGTCTTGGGCCCAGCAATGTGACTGCTGCTCGGGCTTCAGAGTTCATCACAACTGCTTGAGTAATGGTAAGTGGAGGTTCATCTTCTGCCATTGCATTCATGATGTGCTTCACACTACTAGAGACTTTAATGGTGTTAAAAGAGGTCAGAAGGGGTTTTGAATCTCAGAACATCTGTCTGTCAAGTCCCACTTCTGGGATCATGACCCCACTTTCAATTATGCTGGCAAGCTTGTGCATAAAAGTAAGGTTGTGACCCTTGTTTATGAACTAGTGGCTTAAAATAAGTTCTGTGAAGAGGGAATAAAAAAACATTTACAAAGCAGTGTATACTTGGAATGCATGTCGAGTGTAGGGTGCTTTCCAAAGAGACAAGACTAGGGTGAGGTCATACAAACATGCAATGCTTTGTATTTCTGTTTAGGTCATTCTTTTTCTCTGTAAAAAGGAAAGAGCTAACTACTCTCAAGGAGGAGAGAACTATTATAGCAACAGGGTTCTGTTTATTAAGTGATTTAGATCTCTGTCCTGAATTTAAATCATCAAAGTGCAGGAGTTACACACCTAGAAGTATATAGTAAAATTTTCCATTGGAAACTGGGAGTACATTTGTTGGAAGTCACAATAGAGTGTATGCTGCAGCAGATTAAGGTATTAGCCAGTCAGAGGATGACTTTGAAAAACAGACAGGACCAGTCCTGAACAAGTCACATGTTATCCTAAGATTTATCAGATATGATATTTTCAGCATAGTATAGAGATGAGTTCAAAGCATCACTGGGCATTTAACCTCTGGTTAAATACATTTTCTAATGCATTTCCTTCAGCAAAGTGAATTTAAACAAAACATGCAGAGAGGATGATTTAAATGGCCAGTGGATGAGAGTTCCATCTTGCAAGGTAGAGACTGAGAGGGACAGTGAAAGAAAGCATGGGTTGCACTCCCCAAGTACATCGGTGAGTAAAGAAAAGCAGGGGAAGGAACACTCTGAGCTTAAAGACTATGTTGCACTGATTTTTTTTTTTTTTTTTTTTTTAATATGACTATGAATCACATTCTGGGTTAGAAACTGAAAGAACTGGCAGTACTGCAAAGTTTTAGCAGACTATGATGAGTCTGGAGCAAGGAACCAAACTGGTTTTAAAACACAGCTTGATGAATGGAATTGTATGGGAAGATGTATATAGTATCAGGAGACAGGGACCAATTATACAGACATTGAACAGGGGACATTACTAGTCCTCAGGAACAAGAATATCCTTCTGCCAGTAGTGTATCCTGGGTATGGTACATCTCCCAAAACTCTCCTTAGCCTGATACTGGAACACTTACAGAAAACTAAGGTGGAGTTAGGTCTGCTTCTCTACAGCAGATTTTCTGATGAAGAGGGCTGTTTTCCATATATGCAGCCAACATTGTGCGTTGCTCAATGTCACAACATCGCTTGTAGTTATATGCAATTCTTCTCACTCTACAGTGTTTACCACTTCTAAATGTGGGTAGTCAGTCATAATAGCATTCTTATAGTGTTAAGAAATATCTTCCTACCCCACTTGCTCAATTCATTTTATGTGAAACAAATGTGATTTTCCTCAGTTCTTAACTATTTTAATTCCATATATTCTTTTCATGATCAATTAAAATGTTTTCACTGACAAGTTTACACAAATTTCCAAGTAAATCCTTATTCATTTTCCTCCATCTGTAATTCATGTGGAAACTTCATAAAGATTACAAAAGGGATTAAAGAGTGACAGATGCTGCCACCTACCTTGTGCAATTTACTAACTTTTCAAACCAGACTTATTCTGGATAAAAAAAAGACAATTCATACTCTAATTCTTTGTAGAAAGTGCAAGCCTATTGTTCACACAGTTCAATTATGCAACAGAGAGCAGACAACACTCTTAGTCTTCCAACAGTCCACAACTGCATTGAAGCTCAGGTCCTGATTGGAATCTAATCACCGGGACTCCAGCCCATCAGCTTCTTCTTTATATATATATGTCTTTTTTAAAAATCAGATCAATAAAGGAAGTTCTTCCAGACCCAGACCAAAGACAATGCCCCTGGAGGAATATGTGACATAGAGAGATGGTGAAATTGAATTGTCCTTTCTGCTAATCATGAGGAACTTGCCCTAATCACCAGGATCTGTAAAGGGCAAGTGCCCTTGCAGTGACTCTGCATAGCTCCCTCAGCATTCATGGGTGTATCCCGTTAGGTGCTATGGAGTTACACTTGTCCAGTTTGTTTAGAAGTTCCCTGATTGGACCCTCAGCCTCCGAAGGTAAGTCTTTGCAGTAGACTTTCCCTGAGTTGCAACGTCAGGAGTCTGGGATTCCTGAAGGCTGCTTTTACCAGTAAAGACCAAACTGAAGAAGGCCCGAACACCATGTACTTTCCTGTGTCTTTTGGCAAAGGGTAGCAGTCCTATCCAGCAATAGATCCATATTTTCTATAGTGTTTTTTTGTTGCCTTCATGTCTCTCATGAGAATGAACTCCAGGTGGGCTTTGGCTTTACAAACCCCATTCCTGAACAATGCAGCAATGTCTCTGTGTTCCCTCTGTGTCACCTCTCCCTGCCCTGACCTCTTATATTTGAGGCTGATCAGGATATTCTTGTTCATCCATTCAGGCCTTCATGATTTCCTTCATTTCAGAATGGGCAGTTCTTGAGACTGGAGGAGGTGATCCTGGAAAGCCTGTACATAGCATCAACACAGTCGAAGAAAACCAGTGAGAAGCACCATGGAGAAGAAAGAAGCCAATGAGCACAGAGCAACAGGCAGCAGCTGTTATGGGCACAATCCAACTTCAAGGACCACCCACGGCTTCACTGCAGGAATTCAGGTGGACTGAATTGACTAAATTGAGCCTGAGGAAGGAGAGGAAAAGATGTTTACTTGAGTGTTTAATTGTTTATATTATCTCTTTTCTGATACCTGGATCAGTGATCAAAAATTTCTGTTAATTGGTAATTTATTAAATTAAGGAAAAGTTGACCAGTTTTTGCCTTTGATGCTGGCAAGTGCAATAAACAAACCTTCATTTCATGGACACCCTTTAGCATATTCTGCTTTGATAAAGTGGAGATGCATAAAAATCTTTGGAAACTACAGGTAAATTCAGATTAAGACTCTTTATCTTGTCTGAGTACTCTGAAGAGGGGAACATATACAAAACTAAAGGAACCTTTGACTACATCAATACTAGGCTGACCCAAAGATAATTAATGCAACCAGTTGATATGCTGGTTTGAATTTACTCCTGTACTTCTGTAATTTCTCAGCTTCCAAACTACATCTGGTTTATATCTGTTTTGGAGCTGTGGAACAGACACACAAAAGGCTGCACCCATCTCTAGCTATTTCCTATTTGTATGTTAAAAAAATACAAATTCTGAAATTGAATAAACAACAACAAAACCAAGAAACAACGTGAGTATTTTTCTAATAATGTTTCAAAAACTTATTTTATGAGATTCATGACAAGCTTAAGAACTCAAAAGGGCACAGTTGGTCAGAGGACCCTCTACTACATGGCCAAGAAGAGACGCATGTGAAGACATCCCAATACACTAAAGAGTATTCTGTCAGATCCTTACTAACAAAGGACAGGTAACATGTCCCTGTCAGCATGTTGTACTGTCAGAGAGTATTAATTCTGTGCTTAGCATCCTAAACATATGGAATTGTTTAGGATGGTAGGAATTGGAGTGGCAACACCTTCTAGGGGTAGGCTAAACTTTTTTCTCCTATTGGAGCAAGATCCAATAGGGCGGCCCAGGAACACTCCTGTTTCCTTTTGGCTGGTTCTCTTGCCTTTTTGGCTTTTTTCTCCCTAGGTGAGAGGGTGGATGAGAACTTGCTGAGTTGGCTTTGAAAATGTAAAATGTGAAGAAAGGGAAATTAGACCCTGGCTGTGGTTTAAATTGAAATGGAGATAAATGTCCAGCACTTTCAAGTGTAATGGGTGTGTACACATTTTGGGAGCAGTTCTGAAAGTTTGATGTAAGTCAGTCTGCTTGTGTAATTCTACCATACCTTGTCCAGATTCCTGTCTGCAGCTATGTTTATTTTAGAAAATGTCTCTTCTAGTATTAAAACAAAAATCAAAACAAAAGTTTCGTTGTTCTAGCACAGTTCACAGCAAAATCAGGATTAGAATTCTGCTTCTTATAAACAAAGGTCTGTTAGCTGCCACACTGACTAAGCCACTTCATCCATTGTTACTCTCTGAACTCTTAAGTGGTCTTAGAGTTTTACTTACTACCACAAAACAGTGTATGGAAGCAAAGGCCCTTTAGAAGTCTGTGAGGCTTCTAGAGTGACTAGGTGATTTCTGATTACAAATGAAGGTGGGAATTGTGTCCCAATGGGTGCTTCTAATCTTCATGCTGAGGCTGCTGCAGAGTCCCATGGCTCCTACTAGAAGCAGAAGAAGATCTGCTAGATGCATTTTCAGCACATATGGTGAAGAGTATTTCTTGTTGCCATGTATCTCATTTGTATGTGGGACAGTTATCACGATTGAGAGATGATTTTCACTTAATAATCCCTTCCTCTGCAATTGCACTGAACTTGAAACCAGAGCAGTTTTTTACAGTTCCCGTTGAGATCCAGAAGGAGTTCTGTGGTACTAGTGAAAGAAAATATATCTCCAGCATTATTTGTTTTAATGTCAAGGGGATGGATTGCTCTAGCAACTGACTCAGGAAGCACTGAAAAGGATGGAGTAATCTAGAAAATACTATAATAATGGCCTGTTTTACAGAACCCTGAGCAATGTTGAGTATCACTTTGTCCTGGATACTTACTCTATTCATAGGAAATATGTTATTGTAGTAAGTTTCCTTCTGGACAGCTTTGTCTTGTGAGTAGATATCTGCCAAACTTGCCTGAAGACAGGGCCTGACCTGTGTGTCCTCAAAGTTTATAATCTTGGAGGTTGCAAGTCTTTCAGATACATCGGTTTTACCCTGCAAAAACAAGCCAAAAAAATAGCACTCTAAAAATAGCACTGTCTTTTGGCTCTGTGAATGCTTTAGGTAAGACGTTCTTAAAACTTAAAATAATTAATAAATTACTTTGCAGAAACAAGCTGCAAAGCTGAAGAGGATTATAATTGTCTTCATTTTTTATTTGTCATTCTTTACTCCTTTTAAGGTCAAATCCTGGCCACGTTTTTTAATAACCAATGGTTTGGGTAGGTTTTTTTTTTTGGGTTTTGTTTTGTTTTTTTTTGTCCTAAGGTCTTGGATGATAAAGTTTCTGCCCAGGAACTCTGAATAAAACAGAATCAATTTGAGTTAGGTGCTTACTGTATAGAGGGATGAAATGTATCTCCAAAGAGATAATATTCAAATAAATGTATCCTTCTCCTCTTAAGTAAAGTTCCCTGTCTCACCTATCACTTACAGCTGCAGTTGAACTGAAAAATCTGGTACCTTGCTTCATTGAAAGAATCTGATGAAACATTAATACTTCCTGCAGCATGAGCAAAACAAGTGTTCCATTATTGGACCAAAACGTTTTTTTTGCCTGGGGATATTCTGTCATCCTTCTCATCATGACACTGAGTCTGTGAAAATGCACTTTTGATACATATGTGCTATGCACATGTTTTGCAAGTTAGGAAATGTGAACTGTCCACTGGGAGGTGAATTGTTTTGTCAGCTGAATAACCCTGGGAATAAAACAGAGGGCAAAAATCTACAAAAGAATTTAAGACTGTAACTCTTTTTTAGGCACCAATGCTCACCATGAAACAGATGAATGATAGGAACCTAAATATGTATGTGGATCTTGGCCTATATTTTGTTGAGCCTTGTCCAGTGCTTTTTCTTGATGACATCTCTTTCTCTAATCATCTCCATGTTTTCTGGAGTCATGGTTTATGGCTATTGCACACCTTGCACACCTTGCAATACAAGAATGAAGGATGATAATTCTTTCTGGGCTTTGAGATTCCATGTTGGTAATGTGAAGTCTGACGCACCTCGCAGTTTCTATGAGAGGGCCATCAGTGTACTGGCTTTGAAGATGCCCTTGTAATGGTTCTTATGTGAACTTGGCTGCCTGTCAGCAGCATGACTGCACAGTTTTGGTAAGCTTGGAAAGCTCCTTTAAAGGCTTGCAAAAGGGAAAGGCCTCATTTCAGCACATTTTTACCAGTGACATAATCCTCTCTTAATATTTTTGTATATAAAGCATCATGTAATTTCCCAGATCAAGAAACTCATTCCCAAAGAATGTATGCCTCTGACTCTGGGAGAGAGTGTTTTTAAACAAAAAATTGTTGTTGCTGTTGAACAGCTTTCCTGGGTGTCTCATTCTTTAGCTGATCCACATTCTTTCCCAGTGAGCAAGAAGATGATAAGGCACTAGTGCCTATTTATAACTTGCAGGAAGAAATGCTTGTTTAATGATGCAGTACTTGGTGAAGGGAAATGAGAGAAAAAGCAGCCCTGTCCTAAACACTTGCCCTGAGTTCTGTTGTAGGTTATACCTCTCTGTTGGCATCCTTGCTCGTCTGTGGAGAGTACCATGTGCGACTTGGCCTTTGAGAGCAAAATAAAACTACGTGTTCAGAACTGTGCAAAATGAGTCACCAGAAAACCATGTGTTCTTTCATCTCCTCACAGTTTTGTGTTTGAATTCTGTTTCTCTGAGAATGGCTATTTATATAATGGTAGTACTTAGAGGCCTTGATCCAAAGTGAAGCCTATTTTGCTAAGCTGTGTGCTAATACATGGTGAGAGACAAGGCTCTGCCCTTAAAAGTCAGTGATCAAAGAGACCTTGACACTAAGAGATAGGACAGGAAATGGATATGATGTGACTGTCCAAAAATTATGTCACAGTTCTATCACTTGCATACTGAAATATCATTTACTTTTCATCTTCTCCCTCCAAACAGTTAAGAATTAGGTAGAAGGTAAAATGAAGCTCCAGAGGCAAGAATTCGACTTCAGTGAATAACTCTGGTCATCGCTTACTACTCCTTGTTTGTTGCCTTGAGCTGGATGAGAAAAAGCAGGATCTTGGTTCTGTTTTCTACAGATGCCCTCACCACAGTGCTATGAAGATGGCAATTTTCCAGCCTTGTTGATTTTGTGACTCAACTCTTTTACTTTCACTTTAAATCTCCCACATTGAATATATATGACATCAGAAATTAATTGTCATCAGCTCAGAGGTAGCCTCCATACAGAACAGCTTTCTTTTTAACATCCTGTTCAGATGGGATTGTGTGAGAACTGACAAGGAATGTCCTTTCTGCCAGGCTGGTAGTCCAGGGTGCTTGTTTTCTAATCTGGCAGGGAATGGATTGTTTATTTTATTCTTTTTCTAAGAGGTGGGAAAAGCTCAGTATTAGGAAAGGAATGTTAGGACCAGACAGCACAGCTTTAGCAAATTTTCAATGAACATGACATTTTTCTTTCTGTGAGGTCTATATCCATATTGTTTCACTCAGCAGAAGAAAAAGCAAGGCACCACTTCACCTACACAGGCTGTCTTCTTGGATGTCATTTTGCGGTGTGTCTGGTGTCCTAATATCTCTTGTAGAAAAGATTTGTGAAGTATGATTTGAATAAAACCAATCATTTTCTAAAGATATCAGAGTTCTACTGGAATCACTTCAAAGTGTATTGACTACATCAGTGGCTGACACTATTTTTAAAGAGGTTGATAGGATGATGTTTTAATTCCCCACATATTTAGTCAAATTACTCTTTACTGCAATAAGTTTTTGTTATGAGCTTTAATTAGGGAAAGTCAGTCTCTGCATACACCTGTAAATATTTGAGCTAGAAAAATTTGAGGAAACTACAGCCCCATTTAAAAAATATATTAATTAATTTATGACATTTGTTTATTATTATCCTGAGTCATGAGCAATACTGCTCTGGAAATTTAAGCATGTGATAGACAAAAGGAACTTCCTGAATGCCTGGGCAAACTGTAATGGAAAAGTGAGCTGTAAACCCCCTAATACTTTTACTAAAAATACCTTTTTGAAATGATGTCTGCATTGTGCATAGGAGACGCTGTCCTAGACTATCAAAACACTGTGGATAATATTGTCAGGCTAGGTCAAAAGGGGGTGATTATTCCAGAAATTTAGGGTCTCTTTAAGAGAAGATGACAGACCTGGATAAGACTGGTTGCAGGTATGTTCAATTGCTTTGACTATCTCAACCCTACAGCAGCTTGAATTTTGTCGTTTTTCTCAGGCATCATGTCAAAAGAGAGATTTCAGTAGGGATTCAAAGATGACCTGTAAAATCACTTTGTTTTTGAGACTGCATCTGAAATCTGAAATATGGGGTGTTAAGTGACTGTAAGAGATGGAAGTCAACTATCAGTATAGGTGAAATAGGAAGAGATATAGGAACTAAGTATTGAGGAGCCTGAAGCTTTCCTCTGACATGAGAGAGTGAAAAAAAATAGTTTAATTCCAAGAAAAAAGTGACAGTAGCCTAAGAGATGGATTAGGAAAATTATTATTGTACTATCTGGATGTCTAGGAGAAGAATAACCTTGTATGAACAAAAGCAGAGGAAAAAACCAAATATATAAGGTGGCATGGCTGGGCAGCACATTTATCTCATGGAAGAGCAGCTCTTTTCATCCTTTTCCTGCAGAAGTGAGAGAGGCTTAATGCTGAGGAACTGTCTGGCCAAACAAGTGCTCCGTGCAACTGTGACTTGTAAAATGGGGGTTTCTTTGGCTGTGAGAAGTCAAAGCTCCTACTTACTCCCTATAAAATTACCCTCCTCTTCTATTGAATCTGTCTAAATAGAAAACACAGAGGAAATATTAATCTGTGTTCTGTTTTCCTTTACTGCAGGGTATGAATGTCCAGAAAAGCAGGAGGTGACACAGGTGTGAGGGACCGATGACAGAGCTCTTCCCACAGCTCCTGAAGTGGCCAGACAATGCCCAGGCTTGTTCCACAGCAGTGAATCCCTCTGCCTGGCATACATTCACTTTGTATAATGCAAGATGAATGAAGCAAACCAGATTACTTGGCCTTGAAATGCTGCAGTTGTGAACAAATTGTCCAGAATAAAAATATTCAAAAGACGCAAACCTCACAATCCTCCTCACAA